AATGGTGAAAAGAAATGGAGACCGGGCAGAGATATGGTATGGGTATTGGTGGGTGTAAGAGGTTGTGTCCCGTGGCCAACGGGGCATAGCTTGGTTACACTATTTTCCCTGTCCATGTCGGTTAATTACCGGTCGTTGCATTGGATTCTAGTCAGGTCATAGACTTATTATCCTGAGCAAATACTTATTTATGGGAGTAGGGAAGGCTCATTGCTCTCTTGTCGTGGGTTCTGGCTCTTTCCGGACTGACTGATTGAAGGCGGGGATGGTGGAGGTCTAAGCACCACACTGAGTCCGGGACTCAGGAGTGGGGGCTTAGAGTCCAAGTTTGGATGAGGACTTGGACCCCTTGACAGGAGAGTGGTGGGTTGGTCCTGCTTGTGCCTGGGGTATAAGCGGGGCGTGTGTTTCGGGGTACCCAGCTGGGCTACATTGATTCGTGAATCGTCGTGTAATACGGTATGACTTGTCTATAATCTAGCACCATAGTAAGAACTAGAAGATGAAAGGTGGTGAAATAAATCTGATTGCTCAACTCTTGCTTGAAAGTAGAACAGGTGCCTACATAGAATGGTTAGCTAATGAACTAATCATGACTGCTAATAAAACTCATACATAAGGATTTACTACTAGTGTTGCTTTTTGCAAAAAAAAGGAAACCCAGAAAGCCATAAAGCTTATCATATCCTTTGGAGTTGGAAAATTATTCCCACTAGTCGGCTAAGTCTTGCGAGTACATTGTGTACTCAGGGTTTATTTACCCCTGTTGCAGGTGCAGCTTGAGGAGTAGCTGTTGTATGGAGGATTCTTCTGGTGGGCATAGATGGATCCTTGTATCTTATCGTTAGATGATTATTGTAATTCCATTGTTTAAATTCCGCACTCTGAACTTAGTATTGTAATAATGTATTTCTAAGAACTCTTGTTGTGTGAAATGGACTAAGTATTGTAAACTCATTCTCATTATTGGATCCTGAAGGAAAAATGTGGATGGTTCGAGTTTCCCCTTGGGGTGTGCTCGACGGAATCGTTCGGTGTAGCTTGCTTTTGGGGTGCTTAGTGTCTGGTGGAAGACGAGCACCTCCGAAGGTGTGTTATTTCGGACGATTCTGCCACATTCAGCAGAGAGCAGAGGAAGGTGAGGGGGTCATCGCCTGGGCACCACCGTGCCTAGGGTGGTGCGCCGCCCTATTTTTCCCGAGGGCAAGGGTTTCATGGGGTTGGCTAGGTGGTCACCGCCACCCCTAGGGTAGTGCCACGCCATCCTGTCTGGTGACCTAACTGTTGGAATTTGACCGTTGGGGAGGGCACCGTCGTGTCCGGTGCCCTCGTAGAAACCAACAGCTTTGCTCCAACGGCTCTATTTGGCTTGGGGACTATAAATAGAAGTGGAGCTCAGCCTTGGGCAGGTTGCTGAGCACACTAGAGCCTTGGTGGCTTGTGTGGTGGTGCTTGGGAGCTCTCTAACTCACTTGTGCTTGATAGTGATTATCCGATCAAGTGAGTGAGCGATTCTAGTGCGATTGCATCATGAGGTTACATCGAGTGGCACTAGATGATCGAGTTGTAAGCCAGTGGTGCTTGTTACTCTTGAAGATTGCCACCTCTTAGACGGCTTGGTGGCTTGTGACTCTGTTGAAGCACGCAAGAAGATTGTGTGATGCTTCGGAGGAGAATTTGTGAGGGGTACCATGCTCACCCCATGGGAGCCACGAAGAACAACACTAGTAGAGCGTGTCATTGAGCTACCCTCACTTGTGGGCAGGTTCTTACGGTGCCCGACGTGAGGGCTTGGCGGGTGATGTCAATTAGCCGCTGAACCACCAAGTGAGAGGTTGACACAACGGGGACTAGCGTGTTGGCAAGCACGTGAACTTCGGGAGAAAAATCACCGTGTCATCCTTATCTTCCCGTTGGTTTGCATCCCTGTTACACAAGCTTATATTTACTTTTTTATATATTGCGCTTGTGTAGTTGCTCTTGTAATTAGTTAGCTTGTGTAGCTTACTAGTTGCCTTCTTGCTTGTGTAGCATAGAAGTAGCTCCCTTGCGTGACTAATTTAGTTTGAGTAACCTTGTCAGTCACTTTACTTAATTTGTGTAGCTAAGTAATTTACGCTCTCTAATTTAACATTAGTTGCCTTGTTATTGAGCATTGCTAGTGAGTCTAGGAGGTTTATGCTTTTGCTTACTAGTTGTGTAGGAGCTCCCCTGTGTTTGAAGTACTAGTGGCATAGGTTTGTGTGACCTTGTTTCTAGAATTGGTTAGGTGAGCTCTAGCTAGCCCGATACATTAGTTGCTTTTTAGGATCTTTTATAAGGTGCTTGCGAACTTAGATAGAGGGGTGTAGTCTTGACTAGACCGTTAGTTTTAATTCTATATTTATCTCGGTTATCCGACGCGATTAATTTTAGAAAGGACTATTTACCCCCCTCTAGTCCGCCATTTCGACCCTACAACGTTGCAAGTGTATATTTCAAATGTTTCAACTGTTTCAAACGTATGTTGCAAGCGTTTTATCTGTATGTTGCATATGTTGCACTGGCTATACACGTATGTTGCAAGTGTATGTTTCAGCTGTTTCAAACATATGTTGCAAGTGTTTTATCTGGATGTTGCATATGTTGCAAATTCCATACTCATATGTTGCAAACGTATGTTGTAAATGTTTCATCTGTTCCGGACCTATGTTGCAACAAATGCTTTATGTTGCAAGTGTTTCATGAGCAGGCACGACAAGGGGGCGTAGGTGAAGGTGATCCCCTCGGGCGCAGCGGTCTCTGCGTGCGTGCGGGAAGCGAAGCAAGCGCGCGCGGCAGCAGGCGTGGAGCACAAAGTTGTATCCATGGGCGTGGCAGCAGGCGCGGAGCATGAAGTTGTATCCATGGGCGGGCAACAGGCGCGGAGCACGAGGCGAAGCGAAGCACGAAGCTACATACATAGGCGCACCGAGGGTATCATTATTGAAAACGGGCAGGCAGCGAGCGCGGGTGTCTGGGCGCTAGTCTCTCCATTTTTTTATCAATATATAAGCAGAAACAAATAGAACCAAAGTTGAACCTGTACCTGTGCCAACAAAAGTCAAAACCAAAGTTTGGCATATCATAAATTTTTGGCTGCATTCTATTTTGTTTTCAAGATTTGGAGTCACGAAATAATTGGCAGGACCCGCTACAATTAAACAGATGACGTTGGCACTCTCGTGGAAACCATCCGCTCCAATTTGGCCAGCTGCATGCCCAATCATGGGGGCGAGGTGCCGACTATTCATTGGTTTCGTGTTCTTTGAAAATTTTGAATTATGATGAAGCTTGAAATGTTAATATCTACTACTACAAGCACTGAAAAAGCTTCACTGATAAAAAAAAAAACTTCTGCTTTACCCAGCAGGCCGGAAAAGGCTTGAAAATTTTAAACAAGGGAAACAAGGAAAGAAAACAAGCACATTTGACTGCAGCTCACATCAATTTATCCGTGGAGCTACCAATACAGCAGCAACACATCTGGGCATCTTGCGATTTGGACTTGCACAGACAGCTTTAGAATCATATATCATATATGCCTGTTTTTACACATCTTACACCGCAGCACCCTACAATCGTCAGTTTCAGTATCTCACGATCAATATACAATATCTCAAGGGCAAGTTGCAGGCTGCAAGAGTTTGTTAGACTGATTTTACAGGAGCTAGTTTCAGCATCTGAACTAAAGGCATGAATTGCTATAGACCAACAAGGTGGAATCCTCCTAAATCATGGAGCTCATGTTTCCTCGCTTCAGTCATAAGGTCAGAATCAGATGGGTACAGAAAATGTAATGACTGCACATCATATGAAGATGCCACCTGCTACATGTCATGGAGCATCCACTTGGCCATCTCTGGATTTGACTACCTGTGTGGAACCATTTTGACCAAATGAATTGAGATGGAGGAAGACATCCGCTTCACAACTTTATCAAGATATAGAATTACTACAAGTGAAATTGGGCAATAGAAAAAAAAATTCATATTCTTCTCCACAAGGTAGTGCAGCTATTGGAATCAGATAACATAACAGAGGTCCAGTGGGTTGCCGAGATTTAACTTCCCTCCATGCATCAGTAACCCTAAACCACCAATTCGCAAGTTCATGATGCTGGCAGTTTTTAAATAACAAAATTGCTAAAGAAATAGTGCAGGGCAACAGTATTTAAAAAATTTAATATGAATCTTTTCACACACAATCTGAGTAAGGGGATGCATCAGATGCAAAACCCTCACCAGGTTTTACCATGACAGTCCTTTTACAGAGATCAAATGAATTTGAAAAGTACTTGAGAGCATGCTTGTAGTTATACTTTCCATTTTATTAAAGCATCGTTTTCCAGTGCAGGGCAAAACAAATCACTCAGTAGACTACAACTATAGCAATGTCACAGTTGAGCTCTAAGAATATCCAAGCCAATTAGGCAAACCAAGAATGAAGAAAGATGAGTGCATCAACAATGAAGAAAGAATAATCAACCAGGCAATGGAAGCAAACCAAAATTGTGTCAAAGCACCAGCAGCCATATCTTTCTCAGGCAACATAATTTACAGTTTGGTCATATACCTTTACTACCATGCCCAGGGAAAGCAGATCATGTAGTGGTTGAACCAGATCGCCAAGGATAGCTCTTTCCCTTTGATCTGACAAAAAGCCCCCATAAGTAATTCTCACCATCTATCCCTGTTATCAAGGTAGAAATTAAAATATCATAATATGAATTTGATATAGTTTATTTTCTTGCACGAAAGGGAACAGAAAAAACTGAACTACTAACACTGAGAATCAGGGGGAAGCACTTCCGAGGAATATATCAACAACTTTATGTCATGAATATATGCCCTTAGAACATAGTTGCTGGAAGCTTCTAATAGATTAGAGTGTATCTTTTCACACCTACAAAGCAAGTGAGGAACAAAATCACTGAATATCTGAAAGCAGTTGGTATCAGTGTACCGGAACCAACAGAAACCCTACCCATCAGGTTTATTAGAAAAGAAGAACACGCCAATGTCTTCATGAACTGGATTAATAGTCTCAAAAGATTTTGGCCAGTCATTCATTCGAGGTAATAACTCCAGCTGTAGATCAGTGGGCATCATCTTGACAATATCATTAACTCTGGATGACACTTTTGATGGAAAGTAGGCTTTAAATTCACCAAGATTTAGCTTTTCTCCAGCACAGAAGACATGAAAGCATCCCCTAAAGAGCAAACAAAAGCTAAATATTAGAAAGAAAGCATTATATATATGAAATTAGGGTCAACTGCCACAACCATAGAAGAGAAGCATTTTTCTTTTATGAAAAAACATAGGTAGCAGCAAGATATAGTAATCAACTCAGAACAACACAAGCTTGAATACATTGTTGTATCAAGGAAGTCATGGTCAAATCAGTAAACTGTCAGGAATTGACCAGAAAACATATACTGAGTTTTGTCCTGAATTTATGGAAAATGCTACTTGCAGAGAAACTTCAGCAGTCTAAATCTGATTGTGAAATATCTAGAATTATTTCCCGACAAAAGTATAATTTGGTAATTTATGGAAGCATTGCCCATGAAAACAAAAGCCGCGGGAATTTACCCATACATATTCACATGAAACAGTTGGAAGCTGGTGGCAGCTACAACCATATCATTAAGAAACCGTGTCTAGTTAATTGATTCCTGAAGCTAGAAAAATTCCATAATGATGGTAAAGGTAGAGACTTGAGACATACCTCCAACAATTTGTAGGTGTTGGGCGTCTTGAATACTCCATAGTTGAACCCATGACGAGAATCACGTCTTTGTTCTGGTTCAGACTCCCCATTTCAGATTTGTACCCAGTATCTTCATCTATTGGTACATTGAAAATGAACAGTAACAGACACTTTTAGTGTACTCAAACCTCAGGTCACATCAGAACTAAATAAAATCTAAATGTGGCACATAACTAAATGTATATCGAAACTGAGCCCTTTTGAAATGTCATGGTGCTATTCTTTTTGAGACACGAAACATTGAACAACCAAAATAAAAGTAGATTTCTATAGCCATATACCTGAAGCGCATAAGGTCCCCTTTTCCCTAGGCTCAAGCTCAGTCTGAGAGTTAATTTCTCTTTTTTCTGCATTCACTATCTTCTTTTCTGTACCTTTGTGTTCAATCAGGGAGTCAATTTTTACTTTAACTGGTTCACTTGTTCTACATTCATGAATTATAGGCATGAAACCACCAGATCTTGCTTCACAATCCATGTTTATGTCATCAATCTTTGCCTGATCATGACTTGCAGTAGCAGATCGTTTGGTGGCATGCACTTGTGTAGCAGTCCTATTGGAGGATATGCACTTCATATTTGACAACTGTTTCACATGCGGAGGAGATGCCGAATGAAGTTGACTTTCCCGCATAGCAAAATATGGGTTGTCATCAATCTTTGCCTGATCATGTCTTGCAGCAGCACATAGTTTCAGGTTTTGCACTTGCATGTCACTCCTACCAGGGGATATCGACTTCATATTGGATGGCTGCTTCATGCTAGAAGGAGAGGCAGGATGAACCTGCCTTTGCTGCATAGCAGAATATGACCTATTCTCAAGTTTTGTTTGACTATGACTTGCATCAGCACATCGTTTCAGGGCTTGCACTTTTGTATCACTCTTGCTTGGGGATACACAATTCATATTGGACAAGTGTTTTGTAGTTGGAGGAGATGATGCCTTGCTTAGCTGCGACACAGCAAATCTTGACCTAAAAGATGGTTGCCTCTCTCTATACTCAATAATGCCACTTCTTCAGAAGAGATGAACTTCACTTTAGCATTTCCAAATCTGTTCGGAGATTTGGGACTTATTTGATGCACTACATTGCTGTGACTGAGAGTTTCCCTTTGGAGCACAGTTTGCCCACCTTCACCATGATTGTAGAAGAAATTAGACTAGCAAAGTAGAATTGATGATTGTTAGAATAATCTACTGCTTCCTTGTGGGAACACATAGCAAGGGAAGGCGGCGCTAAAAAGGCACCCTGTTGTGGTACTGTAGCCGTTGTAGAGACAGGCGCCGAACGGCTCACCTGCCGCACTATAACCACATGCAGGGACAGGCGCAGAAGTCAGTCCTGCTGTGTTATCTAGTCACTGTTGCAGCAGGGCAGCTGTACTAGGACTAGATAGATATAGTTGTATAAATAGACTGTCACGGCAACTCAGTAAAGAGAGTTCAGATTTGCCATCTCCTATACAGGGCTTCGGCCAACGCTGGTGTCTTGTACTGTGTGTGTATGCTCTGTTCTCCCTCTTCTTCAACCTCTAGCCATAGTGTGTGGGGACGGACAACGCTTGTTCGTGGTCGGCATAGTTAGTAGGTGCTCGGCAATACTAGCGGGTGCTTGGCAAGACTGGTGAGTGGTCAACTCACCTCAGTCGGTGATCCTCTGGGCTAACAAGTGTGGTCAACTCACCTCAGCCGGTGATCCTGTGGGCTAACAAGTGGTATCAGAGCCGTACAAGCGTCATCGCCGGACTAACCGCTGGACGATGACGAACGGTTCGGAGATGGGCGAGCCACTTTTAGTGAGTGTCATGCCATGCATTCATGAGTTGCCTCTTGCGAGAGATATAGCACCGCTTGGCTGCCAGCCACGACCGGAGGTCGTTGTTTGCACGTCTGCGCGAGAGGTCAGTGCGCCAGGTTGGCCGACGCTCGCACCAACTATGGAGAGTGGTCGGTGACTATGAAGGTCAAGCTCGAGCCCGGCTGCGGAATGCTGATTGTGACAAGGGCACCGACAATGAGGAAGATGACATGTCGGCGTTGGAGGCTATCCTCGCTCTCTGTGTCTTAAGAGATGAGTACTTTAGCATTTCCAAGCCGTTAGAGAAGCGAAGAGCTCTCCATGATTGAAGAAATGCTAAGGGATTGTTTCAGAATAATCGTGGGAGGCTATTGCGGTGATGATGCGTCGGTTCCGACCGGCAAAAGAAAGAAAACGCCCAGCTTCCGGCAAGAGTACGCCAACCTCAAGTTCAAGGATGGTGAAAGCGGTGGAGGACTTCTCCCTCCGTCTCTGAGGCGCTCATCGGCAAGTTGAAGAGCCACGGCGTCACCATCGACGAAAGAGGAGGCGGTCTCAAGTACCTCCACTCCGTCTTAGCAAAGTACATCCAGATCGCTCTCTCCATAGAGACGATCTTTGGACTTGTTCACCCTCACCATTAAGGATGTGACAGGCCGTCTGCAGGCGGTGGACGGCGCTGGGCAGGCGGCAGGCACACAACAACGGCGATGGACTGCAAGCTGGCTGCCGAGAAGAGGAGTGGGCTGCTCGGAGGAACTCCTGGAAGGCAGCCTCCTCCAGCCGTGGTGGCGATGGCAAGCGCCGCGGCAAGGCTTTTTCGGAGAAGAAGCAGGTCGACCCCAACGCCTGTCGGCGCTGCGGGAAGATGGGCCATTGGGCACGGGAGTGCCCAAATCGCAAGCAGGAGAAGAAGGTTGAGGCTCATCTGGCGCAAGCTGATGATGAAGATGAGGCCACTATCCTGATGGCGACGTTCTATGCACTGCACGACATCGAGGCCGAGGAGAGGGAAGAGGCGACGACGGTGAAAGGACCTAGGAAGGCCCTGAAGATTGTCAACCTCGACGAACCACGCGTCCAAGTCCACCTCGGACGTGTGGGCGCCGACCAGGAGCAACGGTGATATCTGGACTCTGGTGCCAACAACCACATGACGGGCTCCAAGGCATCTTTCTCCGAGCTCGACGACGATGTTACAGGTACGGTAAAGTTTGGTGATGGCTCACGGGTGGCAATCTAAGGGCGCGGCACTATCATCTTCAGGTGCTAGAACAGGGAGCACCGAGCGCTAACGGATGTATATTATATCCCGCAGCTGCGTTCCAGCATCATCAGCATTGGTCAGCTGGATGAGCGTAGTAGCGAGGTACTGATCAAGGATGGAGTCCTTAGGATCAGGGACCGGGAGCAACGACTTCTTGCCATGGTGAAGAGGTCCCTGAACCGGTTGTACCTGCTCGACCTGAAGGTAGAGCAGCCGGTGTGTCTGGCGGCAAGGCACACCGAGGAACCGTGGATGTGGCATGCCCGGTTCGGACATCTCAGCTTCGACGCGCTTGGTCGGCTGGAGAAGATGGCCCGAGGGCTACCCCACATCAAGCACGGAGGCGAGCTGTGTGACAGCTGCCTGGCCGGGAAGCAGAGGAGGCTACCATTTCCAAAGGCGGCCAAGTATCGCGCGAAGGACGCTCTCGAGCTCGTCCACGGCGACCTCTGCGGGCCGATCACGCCTGCTACAAACGGTGGTCAGCGGTACTTCCTCCTTCTCGTAGATGATTGCAGTCGCTACATGTGGCTGCAACTCCTGACGAGCAAGGACGAAGCGGCGGCAGCGATCAAGAAGTTCAAGATGCGCGCGGAGGCCGAGAGCGTCAAGAAGCTCCGCGTGCTGAGGACTGATCGTGGCGGCGAATTCACTTCGGTGGAGTTCGCTGCGTACTGCACGAATCAGGGTGTGGTGCGACACCACACCGCGTCGTACTCGCTACAACAGAATGACGTGGCGGAGCGACGGAACCAGACGGTGGTCGGCATGGCTCGATCCATGATGAAGGCCAAAGGCATGACAGCAAGGTTCTGGAGTGAGGCGGTGACCACGACGGTGTTCATCCTCAACCGCGCTCCGACCAAGGCCCTGACGGGCAAGATGCCGTTCGAAGCTTGGTATGGGCGCAAGCCGAGCGTGTCCTTCCTCCGGACATTCGGCTGCATCGACCACGTCAGGAAGACGAATCCGATCCTCACCAAGCTGGAGGACAGGAGCACACCCATGGTGCTCCTGGGCTACGTGGAGGGTACCAAAGCGTACCGGCTCTACGACCCACACGGAGACAAGGTGCTTGTCTCACGCGACGTCGTGTTCGACGAGAAGGCGGCTTGGGACTGGACCAGTCCGAGCACGGGGGAAGCTGGCGGCTTCACCAGCACCTTCGTCGTCGAGCACCTGGTCATCCACGGTGGTGGAGACGCTGGGGAAGAGGTGCCGGGCACTCCGGGAGGAGTGCCGAGCACTCCAGCGGCAGAGCCGAAGCACTCCTGGGGCAGTGCCGAGCACTTCGGGAGGGATGCCGAGCACGCCAGGAGTAGTGTCGGAAGGTTCTGCAGTGGTGGCGACCACTACAGGACGGGTGCCGAGCACTCCCGTGGCGGAGCCAAGAGGTCTTGCAGTGGTGCCGACCACTCAAAGACTGAGGCTGAGCACTTCTACAATGGTGCCGAGCACTGCAGGAGTAGTCACGAGCTGTCCAGAAGTAGTACCGAGCACTGCAACAGGGTGCCGAGCACTCCAGGTGCTGTGCTGAGCACTCAGGCGGAACATGGAACTCCATCAACACTGATCGAGTTCGCCTCACCTCCAAGTGACATCACTGAGTTCGTAGATGCCTTCCACGAAGGTGAGGAGGTGCGGTTCCGCAGGCTGGACGACATCGTCGGTGGAACAGGGCCCTCAGGCCTGGCTGGTCGGCTGCTCAATGACCAAGAGCTGCTGCTCATCAGCGCTGAGGAACCACCCACGTTCGCGCTGGCCGAGCGCGACGGAAACTGGCGACAGAGGATGCTGGAGGAGATGAAGACGATCGAGGAAAACGAGACATGGCAGCTCGTTGAGCCACCTCCAGGATGTCGTCCGATCAGCCTGAAGTGGGTGTACAAGGTCAAGCGGGACGAGCTCGACGCCATTGTCAAGCACAAGGTGCGCCTCGTCTCCCGAGGCTTTGTTTAGCGTGAGGGCATCGACTTCGAGAAAGTCTTTGCGCCAGTAGCGCGCATGGAGGCTGTCTGTTTGCTACTAGCTTTGGCAACAGCAAAGGACTAGCGCGTCCATCACTTGGACGTTAAATCGGCTTTCCTCAACGGCGAGCTGGCGGAGACGGTCTTCGTCAGGCAACCTCCAGGTTTCGTCGTCAAGGGAGAGGAGCACAGGGTGCTCCGACTGCGCAAGGCACTCTACGGGCTGCGGCAGGCCCCACGAGCATGGAACGCCAAGCTTGACGCCATGCTGGGCGAGCTTGGGTTTCAGCGGTGCGCAACCGAGCACGCGCTCTACACGCGGCGACGGGGGAAGGAGGAGCTCGGCGGCTGCGTGTATGTGGACGACTTGATTGTCACTGGCGCGCGCATGGAGGACATCAACGGCTTCAAGCGTGAGATGGTGGCTCGTTTTCGAATGAGCGATCTCGGCGCACTCTCCTACTACCTCGGCATCGAGGTGAGACAGGGGAAGGAGGAACTCACGCTCGGTCAGAGCGCGTATGCCTCGAAACTGTTGGAGCGGAGCGGCATGGCTGAGTGCAAGTCATGCGTGACTCCGATGGAGGAGCGGCTGAAACTGACGAAGGCCAGTACCGTGGCGAAAGTGGATGCAACACTCTACCGGAGCATCGTCGGCGGTCTGCGCTACCTAGTCCACACGAGGTCGGACATTGCGTTCGCCGTGGGCTACGTCAGTCGCTTCATGGAGGATTCCAGAGAGGATCACTGGGCTGCGGTGAAGCAGCTACTGCGCTATGTCAAGGGAACGGTAGATCAGGGGATCATCTTCCCAAAGACCGGTGGGAGTAGGCTGCAGCTCACTGTGTTCAGCGATGCAGACATGGCGGGAGAC